CCTGTGTGTTCATGTTAGATTATATATGTGAGTGTGCATGTGTCAAATAAATCTCCAGAGGCTTGTGCAGGGAATCGTGCGTTGAGGACAGATATCATTCTGTTTTGTGTGCAGTAGTTAGTTAGCTACAGTAGACTGCATGAACAGATGTGTAGAATGACTTGTCTCGTGTTGTAACTATAGAGTAGCAGCTGTTCTGTGTATAGCTTTGTATGGCTTAGTGTGTGTTTGGTCTCGACATTTAGAAACAGGGTTGTTTACCACGAAGCAATACTCAATGCTCATTTTTCCTCAGCTGTTAGAGCGGAAACTTGAATTGTGTTCATGTGTTGCATGAGAAAACAAGAGCAGTTGTTCCACAAGTTAAGTTTCCAAATGTTCAAAGAATGTATCTATTATTTTAGATATTTGTGGCTAAATAAGCAAATTTAAAGGGAAAAGACAACCAGATGTTGATTCTCAAATTCGGATCGGTGTAGGGGGAGATGTCAGGGATTTCCCCCCCGAACCAGCGTTACAAACACTGGCTAAATTTCTGGTGAAATGAGCTGAAAATGCTTCATACAATTAAAATAAACATTTAAAAAAAAAAAAAACATCTTGGGTTTGAATATTTCCCTCAATGTAAACATCAAATAGCTTCAACGAAGAGTTCAAACAAGCTGAAACTGAATTTATGTCCGACAATGTTTTTCAAATGTTAAGCTACAGAAGGGGAAATTGAAAGGAAAACCTGAGAAAAAAAGTTTTCAGAGGCTTTGGAGCAGCTGATACTGATCACCTCTTGTTATCGTGTTGTTGCTTTTTAGTCTTTGTGAAACTGTTTTGCATGCCACCAGGAGAACACAAAGCAGTGTGGAAATTAGTCTCTTAGTTATTCCAATTTCTGTGATTAATAACATCGATTCTGTGAGGGAATCGGTACGCCAAGAGAATGAAGGTTTTATCAAGTATTACCTTTATATGTAGTTCTGTGTATAGCTTGAATTCTGGGATGTGTACTTGTTTTTAGGGTAGTTATTTCATATTTCACACTAACTAGTCTGAACCCTGGCTGTTCTGAGGATCCCGCCTATCAACTGTCCCAGCCAAACGGAGGATTCCTTTCTCCTCAGTCAGTGTGATGCCACCTTTCACTGCTCATCTGCCCGGCATCGGTGTGTGTGCCTGTATGCACTGTACGTGTGTGGGTGTGTTGTGTTAACATAGAACCGGTTCAGCCAGCAAAGTGCGTGTGTGTTTGTGTCTGGAGCAGGTTTGTGTGTTTTTACTTTGAGGCCAATGGAAACTGATGACTGCATGTTGCCTTATTAAGCAATCTGACATTCACACACATAGACTACACATTGCACTACACTTCTTCCAACACACGCACACACAGCCCACTCTAAATAACACAATTACAAATCCCACCTCAGATACACTAACACAAATCACACACCATGTTTAATTTGGCATCAAAGCAGACTTGCTGATTTTATAAACGGTACCAGTGAAATTAAAAAGGTTTTGTTGAAATCCAGCGACTGTGTTGAGAATTTATTTGAAGATGTGGTAGACTGGGTGTTGAGCTTTGATCTTAGTCATGGCCAGATCATCCGGGGCCACAGGGAGTGAAGAGCTGTGGACACCTGCTGAATGTTCTTGTTTGATACCAAGAGTTAAAAATAGAGAATCGATACCTCTTTCATGTCTGTGTGTTAAGTATGCCGATAAAACTTTGAGCAGGTTAGCTCAGTTTAGCATAAAGACTGGAAGCGAAACAAATAACGAGTTTGAAACGGCCACCTTGGCTCGGCCCAGAGCTCAAACATGCGCCTACCAGCATCTCTAATACTCACAGATTAATATTATATATCTAGTTTAATCTGTACTGCAAGTAAAACACCACCATTTATTTTACATTGCTGCTTTTGTACAGTAATTGTTTTTGTACAGTAATATACAGTAATGTTAACCGTGGGTTAAACAAACAATCTTGTTTACTTTACTTAATACAAAATGTGTGGTGTGAAAGGAACACGTTGTGGTTTTACATGTGTTTACAGTATGATCTGGAGCAGTGACTTCCTGAAGTCTCTACTGGTCGTCTCTCAACTGGTACCTCCTAAGAAACAATATGGATCATATTATAATGTTTACACTTTAGTTTTTTATGGATGAAACAAAGGAGACAGCTTTGGACGGAGTCAGGTTACTTGTTTCCCAGTTTCCAGCCGACAGAATCCTGACGCGGATATTGAAACCTCTGAGCCTCTAAAGGTCGTAGATCCAAAAAGGATTCTTAAAAGTTAATAAATAAATATGTCAAAAATAAACATTATGGTAGAGTATGTCATAATAGTCATAAAAAAAATCAGAAGAAATGTATGTGGAAAAAAGTCACACAAATTCATAGTATACTACGTTAAAATCATTAAAAAGGTCACTTATAGTATGTCTAAAAGGTCAGACTGTAGATTGTTTTTTTTTTTCAAAGTAATTGAATAGTTTGTTGAAAAGCATCATTAAAAAGTCATGGTATAGTATATGTCAAAAAACGATTTTAAAAAGTCAGGGAATAGTATGTCAGAAGAAGTCATAGTTAAGTATATTGACTTCATGAAAATCTGATCGTATAGTTTGTCGAAAAAGTTGTTATAAAAAGCCATACATAGCAAGTAAAAAATTCAGTTTTAAGTTATATTTTAAAAAGTAATATAGTGTGTCGAAAAAAGTCATAAAAATGTCATAGTATCGTACGATTAAAAAAAAGACATACATGTCAACTTTTTTCTCAAAAATATCTTTAAAAAGTCATAGTATATTATATTAATCAACAGTTGCACTGTAAGTGAGCCAGAGAGGCTAATTTCCATCTGCTGTCCCCGGCCAGATGTTTCAAGGCAGCCTAAAATAAACTCTCAAATTGAAACGGAATTAAAATTCATAGAGAAACGGACAGCAATGTATAGACAAAACAGATACACAGCAAAAGAAAAGTGTACGACATTAAAGCAGAGCAGACAAAATAGGTTTCAGCATGCGTCACGCAGAACAGACTAACCTACAGTACAAGCTAACCTATATATAACACTGAAGCACATAATACACATCAAAAAAATGGAAAATAGCAACACTGAACATGACAAATGCACATATAGGCGAAACAAGCAGGCAGGACAGACAGCACATCAATGATGACACACCTGATTGGCAACAAGCCATTCCTTGAAGTTATGCTTGAATGTTTTGTACGTGTTTTGTGTGCGTACGTGTGGTGGCAGAGCATTCCACAAGTGAGCTGCCTTCACAGAGAATGTAGATTTACTAAACGAGCTTGACCTATGTGGAATTACAATCACCTCTTGAAGCAGATCTAGTGTCTGCTGCTTTGAGTGCTTTGTTTAATAACATCACTAAGTGGAGGCGGGGCCATACCATGTACAATTTTAAAAACCAGACACACATCAGTGAATTTAATGAGGTTCTCCCAACTCAGGATATGGTGTTTGGTGAGAATATTGCAGTGATGGTGACTTTTGGGTTTTTTATCAAGTTTTTTTAGGGCTTGTTTATGGAGAATATGAATGGATTTTAATGTTGTGCTGCTGGCTTGTGCCCAGCTGGTTAAGCAGTAGGTCATTTTAAAAAGTCATAGTATAATATTTCAAAAAAAGTTATAAATAAAAAGTTTAAAAAAAAGTCATAGTATGTCAACATTTTCTTTTAAAAAGTAATTGTATAGTATGTCAAAATGAGTTAGCATAGGAAGTATGTCGAAAAAAAACGAAAAATGTAGCATGTCGAAAAATAGCCAAAAAAACAAAAAAAACCACACTAGTGTGTTGAAATAAGTCCAAAAAGTCAAATAGAAGGATGTCGGGGAAAAAATAAGTCATAGTATAATATGTCAAAAAATTCATATATATCGAAAGAAGTCCTAAAATATTCTATCGAAAAAAGTGATAAATACTCATGGTATAGTACATTGAAATTCTTATTATAGTATTCTATAAAGTCATTAAAAAAAAGTCAGAATATAGTATGTCAAAACAAATATCAAAAATAGACTGATGCGACACAATGTATCTTTTTCTCAACATTTTATTGGTTTCCAAAAATGAATAAAATAAAAATAAAAGTCATTTTCCCCAAAATAATTTCAATGTCAAAGAACTGGACGATTAAAACTGAGGAAAATTCTACCACGGGACGGGCGGTCACAGTGACACCTGCTCCCCTCTCTTGGCCAGCGGAGGAGTCGGGGAGAAGCAGCTTTTAATATGTGAGGGAAGAGAAAGCAAGAAAAGAAAAAGAGAGGATGAGAATCTATCTAGAAAAAAGTCCTTGAGAATCTTTCACCAACTTCACTACCAACCACTGCTGCTGAAGATTAATAGAATCACTATTCTCTTTTATTCACATGAAGATAAATCTAAATCCCTTTTAAATAGAGTTAAACGTAATTGGCCACCTCCCTTTAGAGCAGAGCTTTTTCTGAAATAAGGCATCGGTAGCGCTGTCTAACCGCAGCAGGAGGGTTGAACGCGTGTTCAGCAATCTCAAAATGGTCGCTCTGAACATGGCTGCCATACAACAGTGTCATGAACGTCTATAAGAGGGCATGTTACTCTCTCTCGCTGCTTTTTCTCGATATAACCTCAGGCAAAATAGGGCAACATTTAAACAGAGATGCAGATACAGTATAATGGCAGCGCAAATATCACAGGATGAATACCAGGCTAGTCAATGTATGGCTGTGTGTGTGTGGTGTGTGTGTGTGTGTGTGTGTAGAAGAGCCAAAGGGCAGCGGTAAACAGTGATGTGTTCTGAAGGCTTTTTAGAGGGTGGAAGAGGCAGGAGAGGATGATCAATAGCAGGAGGGTGGGGGAGAGGAATTGTGGGTCGTGATTGGCCATCTATGTGAAGGTAAGCCCCGCCTCGTTGTAGACTTTGAAGACCTTCTCAATGGCGTTGACGTAAGCGGCCGTCCGAAGGTCCAAACCCAGGTTATACTTGGTTGCTGTGCGCATGATTTGCTAGAAAGGCAGAAGAAAAACATGTTATTTAATGTTGGCAAACAGCAAAAGAGTTTGTTACACTCGATAATGTGCGATACGTGTTATGATCTCTTACCCGGGCAGATCTCTCCATGGTGTAGGCCAAACCAGAGTGAACAATATCCTTCTCAGAGGCACCCTGCAAAGGAAGATTATTATTAATAATAATATAATTCTGAAGATTAAGAATAAAAACATTAGCGTAGTTGCATTTACACAACTTGACTCTGGTAACCTTTCAAACAGAGACAAAGACGGAGAGAAGATGAAGCGTACGTAGTGGCGGTACGTATCAGTGCAGACCCGATACGAGTAAAACTGCCACAATTGTCAGTAGAAAGAATCGTAAATTATTTGATGCATTTTTGTGTGTCGGCAAATGTTACTCACAGCAACTCTGGCCTGGAAGTCAGCGGTAGGTACGACAGGTATGGGCCCACCCTGCTTACCAAACTTCCTCTCTAAACTCTCCTGCACAGACACTAGAAGAAATAAAAGAGGAGAAGGAGAAATTAAAGATACAAATTTACATTGTGCTACATGTAAGAAATATGATGACACACCAAACTGGTTTAACAACTTGGCCGTCGTCTATTGTCTGACATGACAATACAAGCTAAAAAGGATTGTGCTGTTCAATGATTGGCTGTATGTGAACAAGGCAGAGAGTATAAATAAAAGTGGAAAGAAGTTGCTGAAGAGCTCTTTTCTCTTGGACAGAGACTTCACATCAGCCGACACCCGTCTACGCCGAATTTACAAAGAACATCACCGACAGCCGGAGTCGCCACAGATTCAGTAAGAATACATCTATTTGTCCTTCAAATTCATGTTGACTGAATTTAATGTTATATTGAATTAAAAACAAATTAATTTAACAAGACGTGAGCAGTCTCGTCATTGAACGATGATTGTTGTCGACTTCAGAATTTAAGTTTTATAAAACAGTGTTAGTAAAAACATCTATTTCAGTCACCACAGCTTGTCCTGCAACCACCTGAAGCTGCAGTAAAAGAAGAGTTGAACTTCAGGAAACATCTGCAGACCCGGCGTATCCCACAACCCACTGAGAAATCCAGAGCATCACACCGCAAAGACAACTACAAGGTAAAACATCACAGCAAGTGATGGCTGAATGTGTTGTGTCATTTATCAGTAGCATGATTTTTCACAAAATGTTTCTTTTTTCTCTAATATAGATGGCTGCTCGTAATATTGAATACCCTGAAGGACGTACTAGTAAAGGACAAAAGCAAAGGTTCCGATTGAAAACACTGCATAACGTTAGAGACACTCTCTTTTGTGATAGATATCATAACGGTGAAATATCCAACCTGGTTTTCTACAGCACAAATGTAAGAGAATGGCTGGGTGCAATGAAGGAAAATTATCCTGATTTTGAGGAAACTCAACCAGACAACGTAATCGCACTCACGTCCGAGGAAGGCAGCATATTATTTTATCCTACTGTAAAAGTTGTGGTAAAGGGCGACAATCTAATGAGGAGGTTTAAGGGAGATTTTCAACAGATGAAATTATCAGCAGAAATGGCAAGATTACACATAACGAATGAGGACGAACGTCCTGATCAGCCAGAGGGAACTCTCCCAACCCCACCCAACCCAGCTGACGAGAGATAGAGATATAGATGATTGTAAGTAACTGCTTATAAAAGCTTTAACCGAACATATAATGTCATGAATAGGTAACTGGTTTTAAAAATCAACTACATGCGTTTCTCTGATTTGTCATTTAATGTGCATCTGTACAGTTTCTCTTTCTGGTGTTTATATATTGGTTTAGAATTGTGCTCCAAGAGTTAAAAATGTAACAACTAGCACACAATCTAGTGGGGAGGTAGAGAGCCATCTTGTACTCACTGAGCAGGTGGTAGTTTGAGTCTCTCTCGTATTTGAAGGTCAGTCTCCCGTAGCTGACATGGTTGAGATTCTTCAGCCACTCGAAATAAGACACGGTCACACCGCCAGCATTCAGGTACATGTCCTGCAGGGTGAAACATCACAAACTCATCCAACTGTTTGATCCTCTGTGTGTTGAAATATTTTGAGACAATTCCATCTGTATCGTTTGTATTAAGATTTAATTTGGGAAGACATTTTTTTTTTTCTGTAAAATAAATAGACACTGAAATACACTGCAAGTTAAATGATATTGTGAAAATGTGTAAAAACGTGTTAAAAAAAACAAAAAAAAAACAGAATAACATCTAATAAATAATCAGCATATAAAATCTGTTTACACAATAAAGGCTGGATTATAGTTGACATAACTTGCTTCCTGTTTTCAGAATAATTTACTTGTTACTTTGTTTGGGTTTTGCCTTCATGTCTTAGATATTATATTTACAAAGCGTATATCTGTATATTTTTTGCTGTAACATTAAATATTTATGACAAATCCGACTCTAAAGTGAATCTGCTCCATAAGGACGGGATAGATGTGGTTCCATCACATTAGATTGACAGTACTGGAAACAAAAGCAAAACGCTCCACAAACCGTCATCAGATTTTGATTTCAAATGATCCTGATTGGTGCTCAGAAATATGTGATGTCACATTTCTGCCCACTTCAAACCAGCGACACGAGTTCAGACAAAAAGGAGAAATGAGAAGTCTTTCGTGGGAAATAACCAACACCGGTCTAACTTTGGCAAAAATGTGAATGTTCATGTAGGAACCCATCACTGAGAATTTGATAAAGTCTTAATTGAAGTTAATTTTGCTGCCACAGTGAAGTTTTGTAAAGATGTTCTAAAGACATTTCTGAATGTTAAAGAGCGTTTCCAGTGCTGTAGTTTGCATTTCTGTGTGCGTGCGTTGATTGTGCTCACAGGAATAACCATGACGTTGTTCTCCAGGAAGATCTTGTCAGCATCTGGAGTGGTGGGTCCATTGGCACCTTCAGCAATGATCTGAAAGAGACAAAAAAAGAAAAAAAAACACACTTCACATGACTGCAAACAGGATGTAACTCACATGAAGTAAACTAACAACTTAAATTACAGCACCTGGGATTAATCGCAGTGAGTGTTTACCTTGGCCTTGATCCTGGGGGCGTTGACACGTGTGAGCTGCTTTTCTCCGGCAGCAGGGATCAGGATGTGACAGTCGGCTTCCAGAATGTTCCCTTCGTAGGCTTTGGCGCCTGGGAAGCCCACAATGGTGCGGTGTTGCTATAGAAAGTGAAGAAACGCATACATGGGATAAAAAATGTTAATGTTTCAGTGGATTTTCAGAGGGGAAAAAAAAAAAAAAAAAAAAAAAAAAGAGAATACAACTTGGATGTAACGAAAAAGAAATGATAAAAAGAAAGGAGACATAAGTGAGGGGATGCTGGTACCAGTTTGTAGTCCTCCAGCTGTTTGGGGTCGATGCCCTCAGCGTTGTAGATGGCGCCATCGATCTCACCGATGCCCACACACTTTGCCCCGAACCTGTGCAGGTACCTCATGGAGTGGAGACCCACATTACCAAAGCCCTGTGAAAGGTTACAGAAAGTTAATAATCAACACGGTTTAATATAACTATGACATTCACTTTTTAAATCATTCATTATCATCAGTAGTAAACATTCTTTAAACTATGATTCAGCTCCATGCAGCTTGATGCTCGGGTGCCACCATGTGGCCAGTTATAACATTAACATCATCATCTGCCTCGCAGTCCGCAATGGGACAGTCTGAAGAGACACAGTGCATTGTGGGTAGTTGAGTATGTCCAGTAAGCTCAAGTCTAATAGACACAAATTCTTGCTAATTGAGAATTGAGTAAT